ACAGGAGGTCCAGGTCTGCAGTACCCTCTAGTTTTGGGTTTCCAGTGTAAGTGCCATGGGAAGGGATTCTGAGGCTACCAATGTTATTCTGCACAACTTGCTGATTTGCTTGCATTGCTGAGGTCTGTTTCCTTTCCCAGCTTGCATAGATATTGGTCCCCTTTTCTTTCCTTCCACATCCATCCCACCTAATCCCAAAATTCCTGTCCAAGATGCCCAATTACTAAATTACCTTCTGGTTTTTATCTCACTAATCTAGGCCAGGCAACACACATACATTTGAGATCATGGACATTGCTTGGCTGAGTGCCCACAGTACAACCAGCCCAGACATGGTGATGCTACAACTGCTAACACCTCTAGAGGGTGCTTCTCTTGCAGCCTAGAGAGCCACTACTGCTTTCAGAGAGTGCAAGAGATGTACCTTCTTTCCAACAAATGTTATGTCTTACTCTGATAACTGGGCACGCCCTCCTCTGACAATTAGAAGATTCTTTTTTTTAACATGGGAAAAGCATTGTTTCGCCTAACATGTTCCCTTCTGCATTCTCCATCCCTTCATAAGGGTGAGGTAAACCAAAGAAATGAAATTTCAGTCTGAAATGCTGAGATGTGGCAAAGGTGTAAGAAACTGACTCTGGGCAGTCTAATGCTCAGAACCACTGTTTGTAGGCTACGTCGTGGTCTGGTTCTTAAACTATGTTGTAAAGTGAATTCCAAGGCAAGGTCAGGTTGTAAATGTACCAGGTAAGAAGAGGTGATTGACATAACACAATGACATCTGAAGAGAAAGATACGTCCAGAGGAAGAAATTGATGTAATTTATTGCTGACATGGCTTTCCGTTGTCTCTCTGTCTTTTTCTATTTTAATGTGTTCAATTTTGGGCTCAGAAATGAATAAAAATTAGTTTAATAAAATTCCCCAACTGAGATGCAAAGTATTTGGAAATGATTTTAAAGTATACCATGCAGCTGAAATGTCATCATTAATTTTAATCTGCAGCATGCGTGTAATGTCCTCGGGCTATTTCAGTGGTGCAGAAGATTGTAATCATTCACCTGTTAAAGTAAATGCAGCTTTAACAGGTCTGATCACAGCTAAAAAGGAGGAATGGAGAGGACAGGTAGACAGATGGTGTTTCAGTATGTCATCTGTGAACGATGCCTTGGTAACTCTTTGGGAGGAATTATCTGGCTATAAAGAAAAAAAAAGCCTGTAATATAAAGTGGACTGGTTCCTGTAATACCACTTTTTCTAGGTTTTCCTTTGACAAAGTTTTCCAAGGTAAAGTATTGAAACAGAGGCTGTATTAGTGCAGTTCCCAACGGGTATAACATATCCTTCCTTATCGAGGCAAAAAAAAAAAAGGTGAGATGTCACAAAAATGTCATTAGTGGTGACCAGAGCACTCTTTCATAAGTGCTGTCTGGTATTGTCCTTACAGCAATGGCTCTTTTCTGCTTCCCTTCACCAGCATTTTAGTATTTTTTGCCCATGATCAAAAATGTATAGAGCCTCATTCATCAAGATTTTAATTCATGATTGTTCTTGTCCCCTGAGCTTCACTGACAGGAGAGAGGAGCTTTGCTGTTGTGAGTGAGGCTGTGTCTGTCCTTGGGACAGGTGAAGGAACTGGGGAGCCCTTCAGTGAATCTTTACCTGGGTGTCATGAGCTGGCCCTCCTCCAAGATGTGCTCGTACACCAGTGTCACTGAGAGTGCACCCTGAGCTCACACCACATACAGGAACATTGTGTCTCTCTAGGAGATTTTTTTTTTTCTGCCCTGAAGACAGTAAAATGTAGAAAATGGAGCTGTCCTCTTACGTTAGCTGGAGAATTTCTCATTTCCTGAGACTTAAGCTTCAGTAAATGAACTTTTTCACCTGCTTTTTTCCAGTGTTACGTGCCTTACTCTTTGGAAGGTAATGTCCTCTGCAATCTCAATTTTAATTTGTGTATTTAATTTTTCTTTTTAAGAAAAACACCTTGATCTTCCTTCAGCCCACACTGACCTTAGTTCATGTGAGGTAGATTAAATCATAAAAACCTTTCTCATGGGAGGCTTTTGCCCATGTAGCAGTAAACTTCATCCAAAATCATATCACTTGTAAATGGAAGGTAAAAACTCTTTGAAGTGGTAATGAAGTAAGTTCCTGCTGCACGACAGAAAGTTTTGATAAGATCACATTCACTGGGAGAGTACTTATCGGAAGAGCTGTAATTAATTTTGTGGAGACCAAGGTCCCAGTAGAAAGTGGTTCAGTGGGAAGATCTAGCTGTTCACCCTCTTAACAAAATGATGCCTTCCTTCCTTTGTGCATTGCCTTTGAAGAGGCAGATGTGGATGTCCAGGTCATCTCCCATTTACACAGTGTCTTGCTTTCCTTGTGGCTTCAGAGCCAATAACAGATGATAATGTTGTGTTTTTCAACTTCAGCACAGTAAAATCCCTCAGACATTTCAGCCTTTCCTTCTCTGGGAAAAACATGAACATTTGCCAGGAGAGTGGAGAGCTCTCATTTGTCCTTCATGAGGCTGTGATAACAATGTCATTCTCTTCCCATTCTCCACATTGTGCTCAAAGGGTCCATCTTCTCAAATTCTTGTTCCTTTTTCAGAACCTCATGGGCTTTTAATCTGAACTATCCTTTGTGCTTTCCCTGTGCTCAGCTGAAGTACTTTACAGTGTAATATTTTGAAAAATGCAGGATAGCTGCCTATCTTGTTTCTCACCATACTTCAATACTGAATATTATTTTATCTGACCTCTAATATTATTTTATCTGACCTCTATTTTTCAATTCATTTTGCTTAGCAAACCTTTCTGGCAGAGTGCTGAGAGCCAACAGACAGCTCAGAGTCAGAACAGCACCACAGCCCCCCAACCTCTTCAACTCATGCAATCTCTTGTGTAGAGAAAACAATGAAAGAAACAACAAATAGTGGCTTTCTGGACAACCATGCTATTTGTAGAAAAATCAGATTTTAAAGGGACTGAAGCAATTGGGAAAAATTCCTTTTGGGAAAATCAAGAATCAAGCAAGGGTAGTAGAATCATAGAATCATAAAATGGCTTGGATTGGAAGGGACTTTAAACAGTCTCTAGTTCATCTAATCATCTAGTTCCAACTTGCCCTGACATGGGCAGGGATGCCACCCACTAGACCAGGTTGCTCATATCCTTATGCACAGTGTACTATTGAAAATAGAAGGCAAGAGAATGAGTTTTAGGTGTGTAGAATCATACCGGTGGATTTGAGACTTGAAAAAAAATCACTGTGGAAAAGGTTAAATACCCACTTCAAAGAGATGGAACAAAACGCCAGGACCTCTCTGGTATTTCCCAGTACATTATGGCTTGTAAAATTCTCATTTCAGTAACCATGGGTTGGCTGGTGTTCTACATATTTAGGTACAGCAAAGCCTCTTGTGATTAAAAAAAAAAAGATTCACATGAACATAATGTTATAAAAACCTGATGACACAGGCACAGCTCTCAGTTTTTAAGAGGAGATGGTACAAGACTGTCTGAGGTCCCTAACGGGAGACACTGGATTCTCTGAACAAGAACATACATAAGCTAGTGGCTTAGAGGAATGTGCTTTTTTCCATCTGGAATAAAAATTGTTTGAAGTTGTGGCTTCAAACACCACTGAGCATGGTGCTATGGCATGGACAGGAAAGCAGTTCCACATTCTTTCCTCCTCCTGCAGCCACAACAGGTTGTTCACATCTCTTCCCAAGGTCCAAATCCCTGATGGACTGCAGTTTGCTGGGGAAAGAAAGGGGGAAAACCAATGATGGTTGTTTTCCTCCTTGGGTTTCTATGAAGTGAGCGTGGCCAGCTGCTTTTCGTGTCTGTCTGGTGGCATACAGAAAGTCTGGGGAAAAGGCACTCTTGGTAGACATGAAGAGGTGGATGGAGCTGTGGTGGGATCATGGGGCAGTATCACGCACATTCCCATACCTGAGAGAAGGGCAGTGTCTCAGCTGTGCACAGGGAGCTTGTCCCTGCAGCAGCCCAGATGGGAGGGACTGGCTTTGTGTCCTTCACCTCTGTGTCTAATCACAGTGGGAGTCAAGTGGTGGGGGCAGAGCTCACAAATCACCACAGGCATTTTGCTCCCACTTTGCTGGGTTGTAGCAGAGTGCCAGCTCTTAACAACTTCCTTCCAGGGCAAATTATACCACCACCACTTTGCAAAGGTTGCCATAATGACTCAGTCGTTCTTACCTGATACCATCTAAACTAATGTTGTACCCATGGAGCTTCTATTAATTGATTCTGAGTTAAATTTTTGGATATTAGTGTAGCAATCTACCATGTAAATCATTCACTGAGTTAGGTTCATGAGAGAAGCAAGAGTGACTTTGGCACGAGTTGTGCCTTGTGTTATTAGTGGCTCCTTATTCCCCAAAGGCTCTGATTTTCAAAGGAGGAAGATTTCAGACTCATATGCCTCTTTTATCAGTATTTGAAAGTTGGGAACGTATGGGCAAAGCAAAGAGTAATTGATTTAACTCATTTTTGTGGGTATAGCTTTCCAAATAAATTACAGTAATGACATTGCTTCTGTTAATATCTGCATTTAAATGAGTCACAGAACAGTAATGCTACCTGGCAATAATACACCTTCTCTTTTTGCAGGCATAGTATTTCTGGTGTGTGTCAGTGAAAGGATGTCACTGAAAAAAAGAAATAAAAATGCTGAGGAAGGAATAAAAGCAACGCCATTTAACCTAGAATAACTGAATACTGCTAAACTAGATCCGGGTCGGACCAATCCCTCTCATCCCAAAAACAACCCAGTAGGTTTAACACTGCATCTAGCCAGTGGGTTTCTTAGCTACCTAGATCCTTTAGAGGTGATATTTTTTTTAAGGAGAGTTAGCAGATGAGCTAACTTTCACTTAACAGTGTAGTTCTTGTGAAAATGTGAAAACTATCAGGAAAAATGAATCATAAATACCTGGTTTTTTTTTTTTTTCCCCCACAGGCATCAGGGTTATGTTTATACCTACAGAGTGTCCCAGACAGAAACTGGATCCTGGAGTGCTGAGGTGTGTACTGCTCCTTTCCCTTCTGAAAATTTCTACATCCTGTTTGATATAGATTATAGATTTAATGAAATATATTCAAAGTATTCATGTTTCTGCCTAGTCTGATTTTCATTGATGGTAATCGATCTAGAGTGCATCCATCAGTAAGATGTCTTGGTGCCACTTCTGACAGTCTAGAACTCATAAATTAATTCCCTGTTTCATTTCAGCTGTTGAATAATGCAATAGTGCATCATTTTGCATCATTCTAAATGGCAAAAATATTGTGGTTTTATAATTTGACAAGCGCAATCTGTTTCCTTCTATCCTATGTACCATCATTGTCAGAATACTAAATAAATAATTTTCAATGTACAGTGTTTTAATTCATTAATCCAGATTGATTAATCATTAGTGCAAAATATAGCCAAAACCTGATATGAAATATATTTTCGCCCATCTGACAAGGGACTGGTAATTTGGGTGCAGAAAAACATTACTTGTAATACAGACAACATTTAGGTTGATGAAATTGGGATGTTAATCTCCATCTATTTTATGATTCTTTTTGCTTTGGATGTACTCTCTGTATTAATTCATAATTAGCTTTCTCTTTGTATGTTAATGAACATTTATTTCAAACATTATATAATTTCTAGACAGGCATAATTCCTTGGCCATTACTGTATTAGAAATGACTTTGGAACACAAGACTGATTCTTGGGGTTACTCTGAAGAGATCAGGGGGTGGAAATGACTGACATTACTGTGGAGTGGATAATTATCCATGTGACCCTTGGGAATAGTGCCCAGTAATTCTTTCTATAAGACGTCAGGAGGTTGATGTAAGGGTTAGGATTTGTAGTGCCCAAGACAGAAGTTTTTCAGGACGGGGTGAGGGTAACAGTGCACCCATCATGCCAGGGTAACCACTGGCATCTGTGGAAGGATTCCAGGACTCCAGGGACCGCCCCCTGTGGAGGGTAATTCCCTGACTGAGGCTGCAGCCTCCTTAAGCCCCAGCTGACATCAGCATCTGCAGTGAGGTTCTTCTGGTGCTATACAGACCTGCTACAATGTCTGGCCTTTACCTCCACTGGCACTCTGTGTGTGGTTTTTGGGCTTTCCCTGGCTGTATTTTAGGCAAACCTTACCTGAATTTCACACCATAGGTGTGCTGAAGGTCCAGGCTTTGCTATACATCCTCTGCAGGAGAAGGTCCTAGCTACAGTTCCATGATACCAACCCTTCCCTTAAGGAACAGAAACGTTTAAATAAATGTTGCTAAGACCATGCTGGCTTCAGCCGTTAGATGCAGCAGCCTAGGTCCAAATCCTCACCAAGTGTGCCTCCAAGGCCAAAACAGACTCCAGAGGCAGCTGGTCCTTTCCTGCTTCTGCTTTCTTCCCTGTGGCTGGTTAATCTCTGAGCAAGCTCAGGTCACACCCACCTTTCAAGGATGAGGCAGGGAATTTAAAACAGTGCTGCTGAAATCCCAGCCAGTGTGAAGACTCCAGCTGGTGGCAGGGAGGTTGGATTTAGCTCACAGCTGCTGGGTGAGAGCAGTGTCCCTTGAGTGGGACTACGCTGGCAGGACCCGTGCTTGTCCTCCCTTGACTTTGGTGAAGAGGAGTTATTATGCCCTGAAGAATTTAACACAAACATTGGATTTTTGATTAAAAGCACACATAATTTCATTTAATACTGTTTGAAAAGTTGCTAATGTAGAGAGATAGACTCTCACTTTTAGTAAATAGGTAACATTTGGCTGCTGTCTTTGTGCAAGAAGTAGGCAGGAATACTCAATGAACACATAAGCCAGCATTGAATGCTCCAAGAATGGTTTGCAAAGAGGCTGTGTCCTTGCTGGAATGTAGTGGTGTAAGGACTCCTTCTCTGTGGTAAGCCCAGGTTACTCTCTAGATTTTCTCACTGCTGTTTCTAGGATGAAACTATCTTACTGATACTGGCTAGAAAGTTATTGGTAAGGGTGTTAAATCACTGGCTGCAATAAGTCAGAGTCAGAAATAGCAAAGGGTCACATGTAAGTCTGCCTAATTATTGTGGCAGGAGAGTGTGAGTAATTAGTGTGGGTGTTTCATGTAGTGATTAAGAATTTGTGCCTCTTCCACCTTTCTGTCACCATGCTGCTGGGAACTGCTCAGTGTAGGAAGGCTGGGATGCCCTGGGGAAAGCAGAGAGCAGTGCGGTTCATTGACTCACCTGGAACTGCCACATCAGGAGGTTCACATCCATGGCTGGCTCCTGCCCTGGGAGCTGTGTGCATTTCTGAGGACAAGGCCTGTGTGCCAGCACAGGGTACCCAGCACCCCTTCTCACCTCTCCCTCTCTGGCTTTGCAGACAGCGCCTGGGGTCCACCGGAGGCTCTTTCGGAAAGTGCACAACCTCATTTCAGCCTTCCAGAAACCCAACCAAGGCATTGTAACACCCCTGCAGAATCCAGTTGTCAACCACGTGAAAGCCAGCTACTCCCCAGGTACTGGTGGGGGGAGGAAACCTTGGCTGTTGAGCAGAGTCCTCCGTGGTGGCAGGGATAAACTCTTAGACTTGTATATTTGACCTGAACTAGCCAGCAGAGTGACATTGCCAAAAATGTGCCCTAACTTGGCTATCATGTAATTTGAAATGCTGTCACTCAGGTGCTCGTTACAGACAGGGTCTGTCAATATGATAAGAAAATGGATTTTGAATATGTATTCCTGAGTGCTAGGGCAGCAATGGCTGCCTTCCCTCACCACCACCCTCACTCATGGAGGTATAAGCCTTCTGGGCTGTCCATTTTCTTGAACAGTGTTCATCTGTTCTTGAACAGTGTTCATCTGTTCAAATATTTGTGATTATTTCCCTTAGGGAGCAATGAAGGCTATGACTTCCACCTGCAGCCATCATGAGGATGTCTCCCCAAGTGTGACGTAACCACATCTTCCAGCATCTCCTCTAATCTATGCTTTAAAACAGAATGGTTTATATGATAGTAAATACAACTCTGTGAGTTTTCTTGTAACATTTGCAGAAATGTGTATTTCATAGAATTTATTGCTCAAGATGTAGACATTTAGATTTCAGAGTACTTTGAACTTAGGGTGGGATATTTTTTGGTTTTGTTTTGGTTTTTCCTAAGAGAGAATAAAAAAGCATGAACTGCTAAATATTTTATGTCTTTTTTTCCCCTTTGTACTGTCAAGTAAAAATATTTTTCCCTTCAAGATCAGTTCTTAATTAATAATTAGTTATTAATTTTACATTGCTTAACTTTGGATCATGCTTTGCTTTGTTCTGGTTGGCATTTATGCAGAATTGGGCAAGTCCCCTTTTATGACCTTAGGAGAATTGTTTACATTAAAGTGTGCTTGCCTTGGATGGGCTGTGTGTTTATCATTCATACAGTTCCTAAAGATATTCCAGAGGTGATACCAGGAGGATCCCCACTAACTGATTTCCCATCAAAGCAGTTGCTCTGCCCTCTAACAAAATCTGTAGTTTTCACCAATGACCAAGAGCATAAGTAATGCACAGAGTAACCAAGAAACACCCAATGAAGTGGAAAGCCTTGTTTGTTGATTTAGGTGTTCCCTGTACTCGAAACAAGCCATCCCTGCATACAAGTTAAAAAAATAAATTATTTTTGCATGACAGCTTTTCTTTTCCTCTCTGTGTGTTTCCATGCTGCTGCTGGGTTTCTGGAGGGAAGTTTTGATTCTAGAGGTCTCGTCAGCTGTGCAGGGTTAGGATGAGGCTACTGGAGAACTCAGAGGATGTGGCTTTTGCACTTGGGGTGGAACAAGTGTGACGGCACCATGCTAATGGACTGGCAGGCAGTAGGAAACATTTTTGAAGAGATTGGGTGTCCTATGGCCCTCTTGTTTGAGGGGATAGGGCTGTGTTTGAGGAGACAGGACTGTGTTTGAGGAGATAGGGCTGTGTTTGAGGAGACAGGACTGTGTTGCACTGCCTCCACAGTCCAGACTACCTCTACTGAGCTTTTGCCAGGTAGGTTTGTGTGTTTCTCTTGGCTTTGGGAGGGACCCCAGCTAGGGCCTACCCTTGTTTGTGTGCACAGGGGATGCATCTGGTCCAGATGGCTGGTTTGTGCCACCAGTGCCCATGCTTCAACAAACATAAACATTTTGTAGTCCTGACTACAAAAAGAATATGTCTCACATGCTCCCTTCCAAACAGAAGACTAACAGCGATTACAAATGGACTACAAAAATATATGTAATTACAGAAAAACAACCCTTAAACATTGTATAGGCACCTTTGGGTTGCTCTGGTAATGTTTTATGCCTATACTTGTCTCTTCTACAGATCTTGGAAGGATAAAAATATTTCCTAAGAGAGAAAGAGGCTTTTTCCAGAGATGCCAGGCTAGAGACTCAGGGAGAACATAATTGACTGAATTTCACCAGACATTGCCACGTGCAGCTCGGTGGCACAGCAAGAGGCCCCACACCTGCCTTGTTTTCACCTAAATAAAGGCAAGTTGGATGTGAACAATGACAGAACTAAGTGGGCTGCAAGTCCATGATTCAGCAAGGTGGATGCTCCAAGTAACATTCGATAAGGCTGGAAGGTTTACCTTTTTACCCCCTCTGAGTGTATGAGTGAGACAGTGCAAGCAATAACAGATTTTCTATGAAGCTCAAGCTTCTTGTAAACCAGCAATAGGAATAAGTGCAATAAATGAACAGCCCCATCTTAACAGGGACTAGTGGGCAACAATGTTGCAAAGTTGTGGTTGAGGCATTTTCAGTTCATTACCAGTTTCTGTCTAATTGAAGGCCAAATTTCATCTACGGTGAACTGTCCCATCATATTTTACACTGCATGTACATGTGTTGCTCTGTGCCTTTTTTGTATGTGTGCTTGTTGGTTGAAATTAGTATTACCTTAATACAGTGCCATACAGTGGCAGATCCAGCATGATTTTCTCTTTAGTAAAATATTTAAAGACTGTTTTTTTTATCATTACATAACTCAGCAAATGCACTGGCTGGTTTGCTGTCACTTGTGCCTGTTGAAGCTTTCCCTTCTCCTCCCTGCCTTAAAGGTTTCCCAGCCTGCTGTGAGCCTGCAGCATCTGGTCCCTGGCAGTTCCTCTCCAGCTTTGCAAACCACTCTTCCCCAAAGCCTGCTGAGCTGCTGGGTGCTGGCAGCATGTGTGTGTGCAGCCCCAGCCTTCCCAGGGAGCTCTTCTGCTTTCCAAGTGCTGCATCTAAATCCCTCTTTCACCTGGCCTCTCCTGGGAGCGGGAACAGGTGTGCCTGGAAATCATCCCTGGCAGATGATTGCACAGTGGTAGGGATGCATGCAGTGGGAAGAACTTTGCCCAGGGGCTGTTTCCTATTGAACTGTCCTCTACTGACTTGAGGCTCAGGCTGCATGTGGAAAACCTGCAGCACACAAGCAGCAGCTGCTCACCCGCTCTGCAGTGCACTGAGCTGAGGATAACTTGTTTGACTGTGGTTGACTCCAGAAGTGCATTGTTCTTCTGAAAAATATATAAAATAGGCCAGAATATGCCATTTCTGTTTAAAGCTGAGAATGTAGTTTCAGTTTCTGATGTAAATTATTAAGACATAGGCTTGTGTTGTTTCTTTTGGGTACCCAAGGGTCTGGAATTGCTGTAGGCTTAAACAAGGTGGAAACAGAAAGAAGCTGGTGGTGCCTGTGAGACAAGAAGTAGATACTTGGTTATGGGAACAGTAATTTGGAAATTATATTGATTTCCTACAGTGACTTAGGTGTCAAGAGCTGCAGATCCTTTTAGAGAGCAGCAGCTGCGTTTTGCTGGTATGACTTCCCACACGATGTCAGTATCTCCTGCTGCTTCCCTCCCACCATCTCCTTCAGGCTGCAGCCCCACTGGGCACAGCCCCTCGCTGTGCCCTGTTCCCCTGCCAGCCCTCCCACCTCTGTCCCCTCGCTGCCACAGCCCCAGCTCTGCAAGTGGTTTTGGAGCTCACCGTGTTGCAGGGGAGAGGGCCCTGCTCTGGCCCTCTCCCCTGCAGCAGCTGAGGCTCCCTCAGCTCTGGCTTTGCCTCCACTGAGCCCACCCCTGCTCCCGATGGCTGTGACAGCCCTCCTGCAGCACTCAATCAATACAGTAGCCCAGACTGGTTTTCTTCCCTTTTCTACTGGTGCACCCACCCCTTTGGAATCGCTTCCTTCTCATCCACCCAGCACAGCCTCAGCCCTCCTGCTTGGTTCTTACCCAGCCCAGCTGTTCCCATGGTTTTTCACCATGTAACCTTTCCTTTAGCCTTATGCATTCCTTGTGCCCCTCCATTCATGTGCTCCTTCTCTCTGTTGCATGTACTGGGCTTTTAATGTTTTATTTTCCTAGGCACATACTTTTGATAACATGGAATCATTCATCATCATCTATTTGAGGCAGCTCTAAAGAACATGCAGATACTTAAACTTTGCTACTCACACTGCCAGCAACATTGACTTCACCCACACTGTTATGAGGAGTGCAAAGGCATTTAACAGAATATTTTTTCTCTCTCACATTTGCTTTGATGAAATATAATAACCTTTACACAGCAACTGGCTGGGATTTCACCTGCAGTGAAACCTGCAGAGTTATAAGCATGAACTTTGGTAAATCAGAATTAAAATTAAATCTTGCTAAGCAACATTCTGCCCCCAACTTTTGAGTCAATCAATATTGGCTGAAGTCCTCATTTAGCTCTATGGAAGTACCTTTTACTGACATGACCAGAATATTTAAAATACTGTTGTAAAGCGATGTAAACAAAGGCAACATCACATGACATAAGTTTGCACCTTTATTTTTTAAAAATGAAATAGTCAAAGTACTTTCTTTTTCAAATATCGACACATAATATATTAACTTTCAATATTTACAGTGTGTTGCTGGGATGTTCTTGTAGAAAATGCATGCTTCTGGTCTGAAACCCAGAGCAAAATGCATCAGACCATTTAACTGCAGCCATATAACATAAACCTGTACAGTATCCAGTCACTATTCAGCACAGGAGTTAGAGCAGGAATAAAAAAATTGGGATCTATTGTTTCCTAGCAACGAGGCTGAGGCCATTATAACACAATTTCTGTAAGATCAGAACCTCTAACTGGTGTTAGACAGAAAGTGAAGATCTTGGCATACATTGTAAACATTTTTTACTGTTGATGAGAAAGCTAAAAAGGAACATTACTTTGACATATATTGTATGCTATGCTTCTCGTTCTTGTTTATTGACACTTCTGCCAGAAGAGTATGAAGATTTTAATGTTTTATCATGGTTCATACAAGTAAAATACTGTCAAGGACACAATCTGATATACTAACATTTATTAAAAGGCTAAAGTCCACCACGAGATCTAAGGAAAAACTGGAAACTGTCAAACACGTTTCCTTAGACAAATAATGGCAGGTGACAAATGCCCAGACAAATCCACAGCGAGTCCAACTCCACCATTCCCAGTTTCTGCCTGGAAGTGATTCCTCTGGCAATCAGGGTGCTTTCAACCTGGTAATGTTTTGTATCAAGGAGAGGGTTAAATAGCAGCCAGCGTTTGATGGGAAAAGCCCTGGGACTGTAGGTGCAGCCTGAGCCGGGTGTCACCCGGGTGTCACCGCGCCGGATCAGCCGCACCCGGCCAACGCCCCGGACACACGGACACCGCCGGGCACTGCCTGTCTCCTCTGGCTCGGCTGAACCACGAGCTCCTCTGCCTAAAACGCTTTCCCTTTTGGAACAGCACCTTGGCTTCCAACAGCGCCCACCGCTTCCCTTGGAGGAGCTGCTGCCCCTGGCCCAGCCCTGGGGGGCTCCGTGGGCAGGGGGTGCAGGGTGGGAGCAGAGCACGGCCAGGGCACGAGGCCCCCTCTGCCCAGTGCCCAGCTGGGGGATGCCAGAGAGCTCAAACCAAAGAGCCAAGGTGTGTACACCCACTTGCACATCGACCAGTTCATATATATTTATTTGGCTATGTTCTACATAGATATCTATATATATATATTTATAACTTTGAAATGTTCTAGATTTGCTAAATAAATATGAAAGCAAAGGAAATGTTACTTGTACACACTATTTGTTTGGCGGTCATAAA